GATTTATAAGTTTAATTCTGCTTTCAACACTGGAAACCTCGCTTGAACCAGTTGACAAGCATGAGGACTCATCTTTGGAATCAATGGAGCATGCGGAGAGATCACACGCTGAATTCATCATCAAATGAGTTGGCTTAACATTGAAAGATCCCCAAATGACCTGAGAACGGCGTTTTCTTACTGTCTGCGTAAACAAGACAGTGAAAATATGTATTAGCTCCGTCAGTTTTCACGCCTACTCAAACTTTTGTACTCTGAAAGATTGTTTTCTTACTAAAATCAGAGCATAATAAAGAACAATCGACATGAAATTCGAAATTTCAAATTCCAGAGATGATCCGTTTCTGGTAAAATAATCATTAATCCATAACTGGAACATATGAAAGCTAGCGATCGTCATTCAGGTTAAGGAAGACACACTAACATTCCAAATTTATCTCGAACAGAGGAAATCAACATGTAAAATCCAGAAGAAGCTACTCAATCCATATTCTTAGAAATTCGAATTTTACCAGAAACAGAACAACTCAAGACATATCATTCGAAATTTAAAACTCCAGAAACGGATGAAGGAAATCAAGATATAAATTCCATAAGAAGCTACTCAATCGAATTTCTCAGTATTTCGAGTTCTTCAGAACAAATGCAGATCTAGGAAACATCCAAACAAATACTCCGAAACAGAGAGACGCGATGAAACAGTACGCACCTTAAAATTCACGAGATGGAATGGATCTCCAGTATAATTGATTTTGAATCCATGATCATTACTCTTCCCAAACGAACCATCGCTTGACAGATCCGAGCCACACGATCTCGATCCGGATCCGTTAGATCCCAGCCTCAAGCTCAGGTTCGAGCTTCCCTCGTCACACCACTTGCTCACATAGCTCGATTCCTCTACAGATTCCGACCTATTATCATCCAAACACGATCATCAAAAACAACGATGAAGGTAATACAGATCTGAGCTCGTCGCGAGATTCGTAATTAATCTCAGAAATTGAAACAGATTGGTTGTGCAATTCGACCTTGTAGGTGAGAAGAACACTGGTCCATAAGAAAGGAGAAGAAGAGAAGAAGCAACAGTTCTCTCGATCGTAGAAGGAAACTCCACCATCTCCAAGTTTTTACTTCCGAATGAAGCTTTTCTCTGAGCTTCTGCTAATGCCGGGATGATTTGATTTTCTTTTCAATT